GCCCCTTGATGTTGCTTCCAACAAGAGCTACTGTTGGTAGACTTACCCCGCCCCCCCTTCTATTTCACAATTCACCCTAACCAACCTAATTATACATGGCAGCCAGCAGCTGGATATTGACTCAGACACTGCTGCAAATGAAAGATATGCAAGAACAACACCATGAAAAATTAATGGTGCCGGGCTCTGTGAATAACCTGCCTGAAAACAAATACACCTGCCAGGCTCATGTTTTGTGCAGATCAAAAAAGCCGGCTGGATTAGAAGGCTGAAGAGGTGATTTCACCCCTGCAAAGAGGCTCTTCCTCACTTCCTATCTGATCGACGCCAGACTTCCTGAAACTCAACCGAATCCAGGGGCCCGAGATCAAGGCAGAAAGCAGTCATATAAATGGAGGAGCCAAATTGAGTGGCCACCTTGTCCAGCTAACAGAGGTTCTTTGGCTACGGCAACTTGGTGCCTTTTGACAACTCCTGCTTTGCATGACCCGGGACAGAAGGCCTGGGAAGGTCTTAGACTCTTTCATTGGTTGCAGATCTCCAAGGATAATAAACATTATAGTAGTAGATGGAACCATATTCTAACTCAGTGAAGACTACGGTTGCCAGGTCCCACCCAGCCACCAGTGGATGACCAGGAGGGAGGCTTGCCAGATCCAGGCTGGGAAACTCCTGGAAATTTGTGGGTAGAGCCTGAAAAGGCCCTGGCCCTAGTCGAGGTGAGATGGATGTCCCTGGGGCCGGGGACCACCAGAAGATGTTGATTGGAAGATCGTAAAGCCCTTCAGGGCTCAAAGAGGGAGAGGCGGTCCCATAGATATGCAGGCCCCTGGCCGTAAAGGCCTTTAAAGGGAAGAAGAAGAAGAAGAAGAAGAAGAAGAAGAAGAAGAAGAAGAAGAAGAAGAAGAAGAAGAGGAAGAGGAAGAGGAGGAGGAGGAGGAGGAGGAGGTTGGCTTTATACCCCACCCTTCACTACCCAAGGGAGTCTCAGAGCGGCTTACAAACTCCTTTCCGTTCCCCTCCCCACAACAGACACCCTGTGAGGTGGGTGGGGCTGAGAGAACTCTGACACAAGCTGCTCTTTTTCAAGGACAGCTGTGCCAGAACTATGGCTTGCCCAAGGTCATCCAGCCAGGTCCAAGTGGAGGAGTGGGGAATCAAACCCGGTTCTCCCAGATTAGAGTCCATGCACTTAACCACTATGCAAATACTGGCTCCAACACCCTGAAATGGATCTGGCACTCAATAGGCAGCCAGTGCAGTTCTTGCAGCACCGGGCAGATGTGGCCCTGCACAGGCAGCAACCTCAGTATCCGTGCTGCTGCATTCTACACCAGCTGCAGTTTCCAGAGCAGAACCAAGGGCAGCCCCACGTAGAGAGAATTACAATAATCTAATCTGGAAGTGACTGTTGCATGGGTCACTGTAGCCGGTTCCCGGGGAGTGAGATATGAGGCCAACTGCCTGATCTGCCTCAGATGGAAAAAGGCAGACCTGGCAGTGGCGGCGACCTGGGCCTCCATAGTTAGTGAGGCATCCAGAAACACCCCCAGGCTCTTCACCTTCAGCGCCGGCACCAACAGGGCCCTGTCAAAAGTTGGGAGCCCAATCCCCGATCCCCGCGACCCAGGTGCAGGACCTCCATCTTTGATGGTTTCAGTTTCAGTCTGCTCCGTTGTAACCAACCAGCCACGGCTTGTAATGCCCTGTCCAGATTTTCTGGGGCAGAGCCTGGGTGGCCGTCCATCAGTAGACAGAGCTGGGTGTCATCTGCATATTGGTGAAAACCCAGGAAAGCGATGGCGAACCTAAACAGCATGATAAAAAGTAGAGACATCACCCGGCCAACAAAAGTCCGCATGGTCAAAGCAATGGTATTCCCAGTAGTCATGTATGGCTGCGAGAGTTGGACTATAAGGAAGGCCGAGCGCCGAAGAATAGATTCTTTTGAACTATGGTGCTGGAGAAGACTCCTGAGAGTCCCTTGGACTGCAAGAAGAACAAATCAGTCAATCCTAAAAGAAACCAACCCTGATTGTTCACTGGAAGGCCAGATCATGAAACTGAAGCTCAAATACTTTGGCCACCAAATGAGAAGGGAGCACTCCCTGGAGAAGACCCTGATGCTGGGAAAGACTGAAGGTCAAAGAAGACGGGGACGGCAAAGGATGAGATGGTGAGACAGTGTCATCGATGCAACGAACATGAAATTGAGCAAACTTCAGAGGACGGCGGAAGACCGGAAGGCCTGGCGTGATCTGGTCCATGGGGTTGCAAAGATTCGGACTCGACTGTGCGACTGAACAACAACAAGAACAACAAAACCTCCGGATAATCTGGGCGAGGGGGCACATGTAGATATTAAACAGCGTGGGGGAGAGAATCGACCCCTGCGGCACACCGGTGAGTGTTATGTCCTTATGCTGCCATCAAACTGATTGCTTACATGTGAGTCGAACGCCGGATCATCATTGCTCTCTGCTTCACCCAGTGATTGGATTGGATGCCATGTCTGGAGTCTGCCTCGCCCACCTGCCCACCCAGCTCTGCCCCCAACCACAGTATCGATCAGTTGGAGGGCAGGGGGAAGGGACCAAATGCCACCTCTCTGATGCCAGCAGTCAGCAGAGAGGTGCTGCTGCCCCAAGGGAAGGAGGGCAGAGAGCCCGAGGCAGCTGGCTGCACCCCTTGGCACTGGGAGTTTCCCCAACAACTTCCCCGCACCAAATGATGCCAGAAATAGCTGGCTGGGATGCTGTCATCTACTCACTCTATTATCTGGGAAGGAAATGCTTATCATGGATCCATACAGTCTCCGTTGTGGAAACACTGTTAAGCAACTAATTTCATTTGCAGAAAGATAAAGAATTAAATCAATCTTTAAAAAAAACACAACATACACGCCACATCACAAAATAACGTTTCTTCCATTTCCTCAGTATTCCTACAGGCAGTTTCTCCTCACTGCATTACCTTGTTGCTCTCCCGCCTGCACAATCACATTATGCACCGCATTATCCTATGAGTACAACAAGCACAAGGACAATGACAGAGCCCTGGCAAGCTCAATATATTGGAAGGAGTTCTGTCAACATCTCAGAGCATCCTCGAATTATCACACAAGGCAATCAGATTCATCTTGGCTCCCCGCCCCCACCAGGACAAGAAAGAGACTTTTGTATCCCATGATGCCCTCATGAAATCTTCTGGCTTTGATTGCAAGAAGACTACCTTTTAAAAGAAATTACATGTGTCCTTTATTGTGATGCAAAAGCCTCCATCACTGCAAAATTGCAATTATTACTGACCCTCCACATTTAGAGGCAGTGTACTTCTAATGTCAACAGCGTCTCCGACATGGCTCATGCCTTGCTTGTGGGTTTTAAAAGCATCCGGATGGCTACCGAGGGAAATGGGAGGTGGACCACTGATCTGATCCAGCAGGGCTCTCATTACGTTCCTATTTGTAGTCACGTCTCTAGCCCTGCAACTTATAAGGTCCTTTTCTTATTATGCCTTATAACAACTCTCTAAACTGCCACCATGATTTCCATTTTAGAGATCAAGCGCTTTGACTGAAAGACAGTCTCTATCAAAGATAACTGTGTCGTTTCAGCCTGGGTTCCAGGTCTAAGCACTACTTCTCGTATTTGCATTTTGCACTGAAATACAGATACTGATTATAAAATATGCATACTTTACAGAGGTTATGTCAGACGCGGGCATTTGACCAACTGTACCTGTTGTATTTCGACCCTGATGATCTATGTATGTAATACCCCTTTTGCTTCTTTGCTCCCTGCACCCCGCTGTGTGTTATTCCTGTCCCCTTATCAGTTGCCCTTGCCTGCCATTGCATTCCAGAGGAAGGGGAGTGAGTGCTCATAGGAGTAGGGAGGCTAGCTTTGGTAAATCTTCTAAGCTGATCCCAGAGACATTTTTCACATGGGAAGTGTCCTTGGAGAAGAGTCTGTGTTTGGCTAGTTGTAGACCGTATATCTCTCATGGTCTTTGTAGTAAGGCTGACGTGTATGACGGGAATGTGGAATTGTAACTATCTGCACCTTTCCTGCCTTAGCACCCCAGTTCTGACAAAGAGTTTGACCCCTGAACATCTCAAATCTCCTAATAAACCTTTCTTTAAAGAGAGCATGTGTGAAGAGTAACTTGACTGGGAACCTGACAGGTTAGGAAGAGCACACAGGCATTTAAATCATTGTAATAATAATTATAATAATTGTTATTATCTTATGGCATTGTGAGTAGTATAGCCAGGAGATCCTAAGATTGTCTGACAGCTGGAAGTTCTCTCTTTTAGCATTATGCACCACTAAGTGGCAAGCTAGACTTGTCACTTTCATAACCATGAAAGAACTGGGCTCCAGTTCCCTTGCCAAGAACTATACCTGTGCATAGTTTATGCTCATGTATTTCAGGCAAGCCTTGCCTAGTGGGAAAACATTGCAGCAAAACAAAGGATAGCTTGAGAAGGTACTGATGTTTCCAAACGTGTATCTGCAAGCATGAACATTCTGATCTGTATATATATCCTTGGCAACTGCCTCCAGACTGCAAAACTAGCTCTGCCTCCCATACCCGATCCCAGATTTGAGAATGTTGTCTCTGAAGCATCATTGTAGTCCACGCCCTCTCCAAAAATCAGCCTCTACCCTTGCAAGAAGCAAACTTTAGAGCTAAAAGCAGTTTCTCAAGCTTTCTTGAGTGTATATGAGGCACTACAGAAAAGCAGGTGGATAAAATGAAAATTCTTTACAGGGAGGGCGATTTGATGGCTGCTTCGTTTCCCGTTTCCAGGTTAGCACAAATGCAAGACGAGGAACCCTGAGCTGCACAGAATCTGAAATATTCTTACTAACTTTTTAAAAAACTATTTTCACGAAGCCTGTGAAAATGCAACATCCACAGCCCCCTGATTTGACAGTCATGCCTCAGATGTGTAATTACGGCCAAGGAGACCTCTTGTAAATACTTTCCCTTACCAGCTGTTGTCCTTTCGGTCCCCATCCTGCGTACTGAAGCTTCGTGTTGCTGACTTCAGGAGGGTACAAATTCTGAGGCTCCCTGCAAATACGAATAAAAAATGAAGTCAGAATCCGATAGTAAAACATTTTAAGGAGCCATTGCGGCAAACGGACAAGAAAATGAACTGTACACTCTGGAAGTTCAAGCTTTGCATCTCCCACAAGTTCACAAGGTTGCCTTAGGACAGCCTCAGTCCCCCCCCCTCTAATAAGAGGATAGTAATACCAGCCTACCTTACAGTGCTGTTGTAAAGACTAAAACAAGATAACACGTGCTATTATTTTCTACCGAACTGCATTATCATGAGATTAATTAAACAAATGTATAAAACAGAATCCAAAGTGCTAATCTGAGGAGTTCCAAGTTTGTCTGTGTCTAGTTTTCATTTACTATTTTTTTTATTAAAATGCTTTTAATTCTATCTTTCTTTGCAAAATCAAAATTGGTATTTATTTTATTAAGATGTTAGCAAGCATCTTGGATATCCCCCCCCCGATTTTAAAAATTGACATATATACATACATACCCAATCTGCATTATCTTTTTTTTTTTGGCCCCCCCGAAGGGGATTTTTTAAATTGCATTTCTATAAACTACAAAGAAAATTGGGATGGGGAATCTAATATCTATAGGAGAAAGGAAAGTTAACAACTAAAAACCCAAGTTGTGAAGATCATTACATAAGCTTTACAATATTAATCTATTCTATTAATATTACAATGAACTTGAATGTTTAAATCTAGCCCCTATTCCCCAAAACCCAATATCAATTACTGATTTAAGACAATCACAAAAGCATCACATTTTAAAAATATACAGCTTCTTGAAAGTGGAATTCAGAGTTCCTCAGCATCTCATTTCTTGGCATTTCTTTTCCTCAAATCATAGTCTCTTTTGGGGGCCACAGCCCCCAAGTCCAACTCAGAGTCCTCCTCAGTAGTTGAAGAAGTGTCTTCACCGCTTTCTTTATCTTGGTCGTCTCCGGACCTTCCCAGTTGCTGCTTCAAAAACTCGTTTGCTTTCTTAACAGAGTCAATTCTTTCTTTTTATCATTTATTCTGAAGAGTAGGCCTCTGGGGATCAACCATTTGTACTGTATGTTGTTTGTTTGTAAAAACAAAGCCAAGTCTTTGAATTTCTTCCTCTTCTTTCTGATTTTAAATGGAATGTCTTTTAGAATCCGGATGGTATTTCCATTGATTTTCAGGGGTGTTCCTGTTGTTGCTTTCAAGATTTGATCCCTCACGTGTCTTTTTGAGAATCTAACCACTATTTCTCCAGGCAGATTATTTTTCTTAATATATTCCGAATATGATCTGTAGATCACATCCATTTCGTTTCGAAGGTATTCCGTTTTCAAATCTGCAACTGGTGCGATTAGATCCGCCAACACTTGTTTTAGATTCTCTCCTTTTGTCTCAGGAACCCCCAGAATCTCAGGATAAAACTTGCTTTTTCCATTTTTAATTGCAACAGCTGAGATTCATCAGAAATTCTTTTCTTTTCCAACTTCTGTACATGCTTCTTCACCTTTTTAGATTTGGCATTAACTTCCTTCAGTGTTTCTGCTGTTTGCTCTGATAATTTTTTAGTTTCGTTTAGTTCCAGTTGTTGTGCAGCGAACTTCTGGTTCAAAGTAGTCAGTTGCTGATTGATGTTAGTCATCTGGTCCAGCAGAGGGTGCAAAGAGTCAGCTAATAGCTGTGAAAGCTCGCTGGTAACGTCCGGTCGTGGGCTTCTACTTCCAGGTGGAGGCTTTAACTGCGATGGTTTCTCTTTATCGCCTCTCCGCCCCACCATTTTTGAGGATTGTTTACTTTTTAAAAAGTTTGCCAAAGTGTCTGTTTTCCACTAAAATGCCTTACTGCGCTTTTGTGTATTACTTAAATCAGTTCTATGGCTTTTACATGCAGCACCCTCTTTTTAAAATGCTCCATCTGGATTTCGCGTCTGGGAGTCCCCCCCCACACACACACTTGCTTATAACAGAGTTCAGTGTTCTGCTTTCAACTCAACTCACAGTTTATCGTGGGTCTTACGACCTGCTTAAGGTACGTGTAAATCGCCCGATCTTCACGCACTTGTCCCACACAGCAGTAGGACCTTCAGGGTGGAGGGAAGCCTCAATTCCCCGGCATCGAGCCAGTTGAAGAGGCAATCCCTCAAAAGCCCCCTGGCTATAAGCCCTTTCGTAAAGGGCTCATGGGGGGTAGCGAACAGTCGCCCCCCCTCCTAGCCACTGGCGTTCAGATCGCGCCCCTGGGAGCTCACCAGGGTTACGTCCGCCATCGTGCCGCCAAAAACCGGAAGTTCCAATCTGCATTATCTTCACCAACTTGCCTCAACTTTAAAACAGTGTGCAATATTTTTATAACTTATATATTTATTGCATACCCCTGTCATAAGCCTCCCTGAGTTTGTTGAAATGCTTTTAGTTCTATCTTTCTTTGCAAAATCAAAATTGGTATTTATTTTATTAAAATGTTAGTGAGGATCTTGGATTCCCCCCCCCCTTGGATTTTAAAAATCTACATACATACATACATACATACATACATACATACATACCCAATCTGCATTATCTTCAACAACTTTCTCTCTCAACTTTAACTCAACTCAACTTTTTAAACTTATATATTTATTGTATACCCCTGTCGTAAGCCGCCCTGAGCCCCTGTCGTAAGCCGCCCACAGGGGAAGGTGGCCTAAAAATCTAACTAATAAAATAAAAGTAATAAAAATAGAGATTTGGTATGTGTTTTGGTGACTGCGATGGCAAGGACGTTTGGCACCTGTTCAGTTTCCTGAACTGAACTAGCTGAATAGAGTAGCTGACTTTTGAGGGAAATATGCTTGTGTGATATATAACAAATACCAACCTGTCACAGTTCCCTTCTCTAACAACATTTTCTGTCTGCTCCTTCCAGCTCCTGTCAGCCAGTTTACTTCATTTTTTTTTTAAAACAGCATCACTATTAAGTGAGGCAAATCTGATTCAGAACTGGAAACTGCAAACCACAGTCTATACAAAATGGTGCTGGATCTAGCCTGGTCATACCTGGAATCAGTGATTGACAGAATGTACAAACCACCTAAAATATATTTTGAGAAACACGTTTTGACTTGCTAATCACACTGAATGGGATGTTTAGCACTCCTTGGCTCAATCACTTGTGTAAATTGCCTTCAGGCTCAGTGAGAAATAAAGAAAGAAACAAGTAAACAAACCCTGCTTTAGGAGGAGAAAGGCAGGATAAATAAAAAATAAAAATTTAAATGACCAAAGCATATACTTCAGTGGTGATGGCAGCTTTGTTTTAGCACAGTAATTAAAAACAGAATCGTACACCAGAGGAGGGGGGATATAGAGATGGAACTCATTACCTCCCTCGTCCTGTATGTTCAACTCACTTCCACAATACACCGGTACTTGGTCCTGGGAACCGGGTCAGTGAAGATGGACGATGGCAAGTTGTGAATCATAATGACAAACACACTGTAGAATAACTGCTCTGAGCAACTGAATAGGTGTGCAAAACCCAAATGGTGTTAACATAGAATGATTGACAGAAGCAGATTCATACAGGCAAGACACAGCTTTCCAGTGGATGCGTGGACTGCTAGGTCTGTATCCCTCAGGAGGAAAAGAGACTGATGTTGGCTCACTGCTTGCCTCTTCCCACACTACTAGGGTTGCCTACCCCCTGGTTTGGCAGAGGTCCCCCGCTTTTTTGGGGCTTCTACCGGCTGGCGGCCAGCTGGCTACCAGGGAAGCCCCATCCCCAAGCCCCAGCACCCACCGCCACCCCTCTCCCTTCTCTCTTGAGACATAGGAGGGAAAAGGGTGGTTGCGGGCCAGCCACGCACTCGATCTCCGTGGAGGTCAGGCGCGCAGGGAAACACTGGCTCCCTGCAGTTAAAGGGACCCCTTTAACTGCAGGGAGCCAATGCCCCTGTCAGGTGGGTGGGCGGGGGACGTCCCCAACATGACGTTATCACATCGGGATGCCCCGCCCCCTCCAGGAACGCCCCCCAAAGTCCCCCGCTAGGGGCGAAGATAGGACTTGGCAACCCTACACACTACTGCCAGTTAGAAGGAGGCTTTGGAGGTGCTGGACAGGTCTGAGATGAGGGACCTTTGCAGCACTGGCCTGCTCCTGGGTCATTTTAATTTCCCCGTCTATCCTTCCATAGCGACTTGAGTGCTGGACCAGACCAATGGTCCATCTGTGTTCTTCCTCCGGGTGTGGAGATTTCATTTACTCATCATGGCTAACCACAAATAGACCAGCACCTATGATAGCTCACTATACATCCAAGTGCTGTACAAAAAATGAATTTTTATTCAAAAAAAGTTATCTTTCTCCATAGTTTTCTTCATACAAAAACATCACAAGGAGATGCAGTCTCAAAAAGTGGAACACAAAGGCAACATAGGTTTAAAGGCACTATACATACAGTCCAGTACCTTGTGCCTGGGCACACAATCCTGAAATAAAGTCCAACAGGTTTAACTGCCACGTGGCCTGATAGAGGGCACAGCTTTTTGAGACTGTGTCTCCATGCAATGTTTTTTGCATGAAGGAAACTATGGAGAAAGATATATTTTTTTGAATAATAATAATTCATGTTTCGTACAGCACTTGGATTGGGTCCTTGACAGAGGTCATTTCGGGGGGGATCGCGGGGGATCACAGTTCCCCGGGGTGAGGTACGGGGGTGGGGCACATGACGAAGCCCCGCCCCCTGCTTCCGTCCGCCCCGCTTCCGTCCCTCATTCAGCCAGGAGAAGGCAGGAGAAGAGGGAGGGTAAGTTGCTTCCTCCCTGCCTCTCCCCACCCCTGCCTGCCTGGGGCCAGGGAGGGCCTTCGCGGGGCTTCCTTGCACTCCCGCTGCCCTGGCAGGTCCACCGCCGGGCCCCTCATGGGGCTCGGCAGTGGAGCTGCAAGGCCGGCGGCAGCAGCCGGGACCGTTGGGGGCGGGGTGTGTGGCCTTATGACACACTTCCGGTGATGTCAGGGGGTGTGGCCTTATGACAC